AATTTTAGAAGGAATTTCTTTACAGTGAGCCCTGTTCACCAATGAAATTAATTTCCCAGAGATGTGCTGTGGTCTCTTTCTCTGGATATCTTCAGTGTACCACCTTACATAGCAGAATTGCCAGAAAAGAGAAAGAGAGAGAAAAAAAGAGAAAAGAAAACCACTGTGTGTTCCCAGTTGCATAATGGTAATATACCAAAGATATGTAGATATTCAATGAGTTACACAGTGTTAGTATTATGCAGAAGATTCATATAGTACAGGGGGGTGAAGCAAGATGGTGACAGACAAAAAACCAAAAACCTGTTGAATTAGCCTCCCAACATTATCTGGCCTTATTACTTCCAAACAATTTAAAATATCATCTGAAGGCAAAAAAAGAAGCAGGCCAGTCCTCATAACAAGACTGAAAGCCAGGAATCCTTTAAAGCAGAGCAGCAGATAAGGATTGACTCATTGTTTATCATTTAGTCTTCCTTTTCATTTAATACAAAGAAACAACCCTTTGGGGAAGTCGTCCTACAGTATTCTCATTGCAGTTTTAAGGGGAAGATAGAAAAGATGGTGACCACAACAGTGATAATTTTTGGAGATCTGTTAGATGCCTGCATACAAATGGAAAGTATCCATCTGTCATCCCTTCAGGAGTGTCAGAAGTGTAATTTCACTTACTTCCTGTATTTCTTTCTAGACTGACCCTTCTCTGGTATCTCTGAAAATTTCTACAGAGATGCCTTGGTTGATGGTGAAGCAATTACATTAAAAGCAATTTCCAGGTCATGTTTACAATTTTCCCCTTATCATGCTAATGAAATGCACAGCTTAGGTCAACCAGTGCTTCCATGTTGTTAAAGGAATTTATGCTTCTCAGTACCAAGCAACATAGCTTGTACTCACTCTTTCATATAGGAATTTCCACTAGACATTTGATTTTGGAACTGAAAGATTATCCCATGTGCTCCAGTATTTGAAGATTCTCTTTTTGATGCTGCTAGTGGTCTCCCCATGATGCTACATTGTTGACAGTTGATATAGCGATGAGATTCTGTAAGGAGGGATGCAGGCTGTTTAGGAGGGAGAGCATTAGAGGGAAGACAGAGGAGAAAGAGCATTAGAAGACTATGGGCCTTTACAGACTGCCAAGAATAGTGTAGTTTGAGGCCACTTTAACTGTCCTGGATCAGTGCTAAGGAATCATGGGAACTGTAGTTTATTATGGCACCAGAGCTCCCTGACAGAGAAGGCTCAATGTCCCAGAAAAAAAATACAATTCTCATGATCCCTAACACTGATCCAGGACAGTTAAAGTGGCCTCAAGCTGCACTATTTCTGGCAGCCCATAAAGGCCCTATATACTAATTTTAAGAACAGCACCATTTGCATTAAATGCCCAACCCTTATCAGTTTGTAAAAGTCTGAGGGCATAGAATGTCTCGACTTACTGATATCCTGGCTTCTTTACCACCCTGGCCTTTTGAGTGAATGAGTCTGCGAGCAGCCACCAAGAAGACACTTTTCCTTTTCCCCACCATACAAGGTTTTGGGCCACAGACAAGGGGTGATGATTTTAGGGTCTTAATGGGTTTATAAAGGGAGATGTGTGTCTCACAAATAACCTGGACCCAAGCCATATAGGACTTTATAGGTCAAAATTAGCATTTTGAATGATGCCCAGAAATGGACAGGCAGTCAGTGGAGCTGTTGCAAAAAGGGAATTGTGTGTTCTCTGTTGCCAGCCCCAGTTAAAAACCTAGCTGCAGCTCTTTGAGCCAACTGATGTTTCTGAGCACTTTACAAAGGCAGCCCCATGTACAGTGCATTACAGTAATCCAAATGGGATGTAGCCAAGGCATGTACCACAGTGGCCAAATCCAACTTCTCCAGGAACAGGTGGAGTTGGCACAGTAGCTTGAGCTGTGCAAAAGCACTCCTGGACTTCTGTGCCACATCTTGAAGAATAGCATTCTGCAAGGAGGTACTGTTTACCTCCTTGTGCAACATCCAAAAAACATGGTCATGACACTGCAAATCACCAAGAGGTCTCTGGCAAAAGATGCCTGTTCCATCAAACAGCTATATCTACATGTTTTAATGTACATGAACACTCATTTTTGGGATAAAATGTGGGAATTTATTCATGACCCCACCCTAAAATTGCATATTTATAGAGAAGACTCCTACCATTCCAAGCTGAAAGCTGTACAGTTTTTGCTCAGAAAAGAAAGGATGAAGAAAAAAAAAGTGATCTGTACAGACCACAACAGTCTAAGGCAGAAAGGCACTAAGTATTGATTATTCACAAGAGAATGAGCTTCCTTGGCTTTGACAAGTTGTAGCCTGGCAACCCAGGGCAGTATTGTCTGACAGCATTGAACAAAAAAGAGTTCATTGGGCCCATCACAACCTCCGGTGAGCAAACTTAATTACAAAACTGTCATGGAAACATCAGCATGGTTCCAGTTGATTGATAGCCTTTGTTATCTCCTAAAACACATAGAAGAAGGCAGATGGAGTATTTAGGTAAATGAAGGATGCATATGTTCAGAGACATCAAAAAGGCTGTTAACATAAAGGAGCAATAGGGTGGTTAGGTTAAATGAACATTATGTATATTATAGAGAACTCTTTTTTTCCTGTAAAGAAGCCAAAAATATATATTAAATGAAAATAAGCAAAACAAAGATTCCCTTCAAGTTCACCCTTGAAGCGAAGTGTGACGGCTGCTGTCTTGGCAAGAGAAAATAAATAATATTTTTTGGTTCCTGCAAGTGATATTGGCATTAAAAGTTTTGTTTGTAATCTCAGGGGCAATGCTATTCTCAATTGCAAAGAGGATAATGCCTCAAGAAAGCTTTATGCAAGAGCTTTTGAACTCTGGGAAAATCTCCTGATTTCAATGGCTAGACTGAGGACCATTCAAGATGATATTATTGCCATAGGACAACTACTCAGTTGTAACTCTCCACCTCTTATTTGTAGATGTTATACTGATGAAATTGGATCAGGTGACTATGATGGACCAAGAATCTGTAACCAATGGACATTCTGATATTTAGTTGTATGCATTCCCAGAGTACTATTCACTGCTGGCAGCTATGATTACACAAGTGTATGTTAATAATAATCATAACTTTATTCTTATAGCCCACCTGTCTGCCATAAATAGTGCACATTAAATTGAGGCACTGACCTGGCTCAGTGCTAGGGAATCATGAGAATTGTATTTTTTTTCTGAGACATTGAGCCTTCTCTGTCAGAGAGCTCTGGTGCCACAATAAATTACAGTTCCCATGATTCCCTAGTACTGAGCCAGGGCGGTCGGCCCTTAAAGGGGTCCCCATTTGTCTGTCTCCTCGGAAAATCTTGTTTTTAATTTATCGATTTAACTAATATTGTATTTTAATTATTCTTTGGTTTAATTCTATTTTAGGGGGATGGGGAGGGGGGAGGTAGGGGTTATGGGGAGAGGGAATGTTTTAACGTTGTTCTGTTTTAACTATTGCTGTCCCCCGCTCCGATTGCCTAGCAGAGGGGCGGGCTACAAATAAAAATTTATTATTATTATTATTATTATTACTATTTCTGGCAGTCTGCAAAGGCCTATAGAGTAAAATTAGATTTGAATAAAACAAAGCCTGTATGAAAATAATAATAATAATAATAATAATAATAATAATAATAATAATAGACCCCTATTTAAAAGAATTAAATACAGTACTAAGATAACAACATGATATTAAAATAGTGATTTTCCTGGTAACAACAGTGGATGCATAAAGAGGAGAGAGCACAGAATAGGTTGGATTAATCTATTCAGGGAAGGCCTGCTGGAAGAGATTCATCTTGACAGCTTTTTTAAAGCTGTCTAAGCTGGTTATTTGATGGTTCTCCTCCAGCAAGGTGTTCCATAATCTGAGAGTGGCAGCAGAGAATGTCCTCTGGGAGGTTACCATTAGTCTGGTTTTTATAGGTTGCAGCAAATTCCACCTGAGGGTGTGGGGTGGATTGTATGGAAGGAGGTGATCTCTTAGATAGGTTGGGCCCAGGCCATGTAGGGCTTTAAAGGTAATCACCAACACCTTATACTGTGCTCAGAAACCAATAGGCAGCCAGTGGAGGGATTTCAAAATAGGTGTAACATGATCACTCTTAGATTTACCAGTGATCAACCTGGCTGCCATATTTTGTACTAGTTGTAGTTTCTGGACTAGGTATAAGGGTAGCCCCATGTAGAGTGCATTGCAGAAGTTGAGTTGTGAGGTTATGAGTGCATGAACTACAGTTTCTAAGTCCCTTATCTCCAGGAAAGGGTGCAGCTGGCATATCAGCAGAAGCTGATAACAGGCGCTCCTGACTGTCACATTCATCTGATCTATCCTGTGAAACTACGGGTCTAGGAGCACCCCCAGACAGTGAACACAGTACTTAGAGGAGAGAGGGACCCCATCCAGGACTGGAGGTTGCAACCCAATACCTTGTTTGGGGGCCCCTACTTTGAAAGTTCTCTTATAGTCATTTTGAAAGGAACTACCTAGCATCTCCTTATGGAATATTTCCTCTCCCACCCATCAGGCCTGCTGCAAAGGGCAAGTGCATGTTCCCTCGGGTATTTAATGGCTGGAGGAAAGTGTAGGCTGTCTACACAGCAGGTTGCTGCACTTGGGAGCAAACAGCAGTTATTTCTTTCCTGGATTTCCATTGTGTACACACTGGCAATCTGGGCGGGGTATAGCTGCTATGTTCTCCCAGGTAAAAGTGCAGTTGGCTACTGCCTAAGCACCCACATCTTACCCCAGCAAATAAAAGTATTACACTCTGTCTGGTACAATGCAGGGTCCTGACCCATGCCTCCCTGGTAAGATCTGTGGCAGGAAACCCCATATTGTTGTTGTGTGCCTTCAAGTTGTTTTCAAAGTATGATAACTGTAAGCAAACTATCATGGTGTTTTCTGGGGTTGGGAGTGTATGTGAGTCACCCAAGGTCACTCAGTGGGTTTCCATGGCCAAGCATGAAATTGAACCCTGATCTCCAGAGTCATAGTCCAATGTTCAAACCACTGCACCACACTGGCTTCCAGACCCTAGATTAACCCTAAATTACTCAACAGATTTAGAAGATAGGTGAATAAATGTAGCAGTTTGAAAACTGCTTTAAATAACCTAGTCAGCTGGATGAAACATTTGTAGAAGTATCACCACCCATCAAGTTGACACTACTGTTGGAAGTGACCACTGTCCAATCCATGAAATTAGTTTACTTAGCATGCACACTGTCTCCTCTGTAATCTCCTTCCAAAATAATTAGTCTTATTTCTTAATGAAAATAAGAATTTCTGCTCTCTGACTGAAATTAATAGATTCATCATTGCAAATCTGAAAGGAAGGAGGGGAAAAGACATGAGTATTGGTTGAACTAGGGCAACAACTTTATCTATTTACATCAGAAGTGTGAGAATTATTGTTCATGGAGGACTAGCAGGCCAAGCAGGAGATGGGTCTTTACAACTCTCTGAGGTCCACCCCACATCTTCTCATCACAATGTCATGAGATTTGTGACACAGAATTCCTCATCCTCCTAAAGGTAAAAGTAAATGTATTCCCCATTGACAAGGTTGTCAAGTCATGTCTGACCATAGGGGGAGGTGCTCATCTCCATTACTAAGCTGAAGAGCCAGCATTGTCAGAGACTATTCTGTGATCATGTGGCCAGCATGATTGTACAGAACACTGTTACCTTCCCACCCAAGTTGTACCTATTCATCTACTTGCATTTGCATGCTTTCGAACTGCTAGGTTGACAGAAGCTGGAAATAGTGACAGGATCTCACTCCATCATGTAGCATCCTCATCCTCCTACACACATGCAAATGTTTACCTCTGCTTGAGATGAGTACTAGATAGCAAGAGTGAAATTTTCTTCACCTTCAGTTACCATGTTTATTCCCAATCAAAGCTCTTGTCCCACTAGCACTAGACACAGAAAAATGCTCACAATCTAATGTTTTTTGTGTGTGTGTGTGTGTGTGTGTGTGTTTCTTCCATTCCACAGCCATAAATGCATTGTCTCATTTTCCATATCTAAAGAGAAGTACCTCTGTGTATCATTTAACTGTGAAGATAGTCTTATTTTCAAAGCTAGTCAGGGAGGTATTTCATTTTTGGGAGAGGCTTCCTTTTACCTTATGTCACTGTGAAGAGAAAAAACATTCACATATTTCTTTACTGATGATACAGACTCCAGATATTTACTTTAATGTTCTATTTTAATTTATTTTCAGATACTTGATAATATAAAATGCAATTGTCTTTGGTAAAACTGATAAAGATAGACATATGTATGACACCTGCTCCTAAAAGGGAACACAATCTTGGCAGATGAGGTTCCTTGAGCAAAATAATTAGATTTATATTTAGCCCTCACCTCTCTCTTTATTCCAAAGTCATACTGCTATTGAAAACAAGTTGAAACAAGCTCAGATGCATTGAACAGAATAAATGTAAAGTGTTAAAAGTTCTGATTTTTTTAATTCTGATTTTTTTTTAATGATTAAATAAATGACTGTGTATAAATCTGATTCTCTAGCCCAGAGCTGGGAGTCACTTTGTCTTCCAGATATTTTTGATGGCAAATCAGTGACACTATAATCAATGAAAAGATATGCTAGGAACTGCAGCCCAATAACATCTGGAGTTCCTTATGATTCTTGGTCCTATTTTATGTCAGGAGTTGCATTTGCATCAGCCCTGTCATAATATGTGTGACAGTGATGTGATGGGTTATGTAGTAGTAATGGACATAATAGCTTTTGGTGATCTTAGACACAGCTGGAGACATAAGGTGGAGAGGAGGCAGGCATGACTCAAGCCTGTTCAAGATCATTCCATATGGGAAGGTATGTGTGGTGATGAAACAACAAAGAGGTGTTCTGGGAAAGAGAGAGGGAAATGTATTTACAAATTGTAACAAATGAGAATGCAGCCCACCATGATTCTGAAATACCTGTAATGTGCTCTTTAACTACTCAGTGTTAATGCTTGCTATTTAGTTCTGACAATAACTTCACTGGAATAGATCCATAGTTATTGAATAAAGGTTTTCTGAGTTCAATTATTGAAGCCTAGTTTTCTCAACTAGGAATCCAGCTGGACTTGACAGATTGCCCTTTTCACGTGTTCAGCAGTTATGGGTACTGAATTCCTAAAGGAACTAGCAGGAACATTGACTTCTCACCATGAAACTACACACCAAGTCTTAGGTGTGACTGGAATAATTCCTAAGTGAAGGATTTCCATGGAGATAGAATTTCCCTTCCTTGGAGATCAGGACTCTAGTCAACATGGCTTCTAGTTCCCCATATAGAAAACTCTAGAAAGAAATGTGAAGCAAAAAAGCTGGGCAGGCTTGGATGGAGCAGGCAATCACTAATTCATGGAATACTGTGCAGGCGGGGGGGGGGGGGGGGGAAGGCTGTTAACAATTTAGATAGGGAGAAGGATGGAATAGAATTAGAGAGTCATAAATAAAGTGTAAGGGCTAGTTAAGAGGAGGAGGAGAATGGAGACAATCTAATTTGGTTTTTGGGAAGCTGAGAAAGTGGGGGAAAGTGTTACTTGGATCGAAATAAAAGTTGCTGTGTGCTCTGTGCATGGAACTGGCATAAAGCTAGCTGTTTGTTTTATTTGTTAAATAATAAATATTTACTCTTCTTGTTTCATACATTTCTTGTCCATATGATTTAATTCATTAATCAGTAAGAAGAACTGTGCATACTTAACCACATTCAACTCCCAGATAAACACAGTCACTCATCGAAAATAGCAGTTGTCTTGAAATCTGAGTAGCAGATGCAGGGAGGGGTCTTGAAGGTAAAAAGGCAAGATAGTGACATGAACACTAAGACTTGATTCTGTCACAGGAGACTTTTCATACATCACAAACTGATCACATATTACATGAGGGCTTTGCTTGCCTGCAAATAGATAACAATAAGATAGGGCTGGTCCTCCATATTTTACCCAGCCCCTCATATATTTATCCATATTCTAATTTGCACTTGTCCCTCCATATTTTCTGGGGTTAGGGGTATAGGACTCCCATGAATGTGGAAAAACTTCAAATAACAAAAGCACTATGTTTTTACCTAAAAGAACACCTCTCTAGAAATCTCTAGGTCCTCCAATGCAATTCTGTGGTCAACATCTGCCAGATATTGACCATGGAATTGTGCTGGAGGATCTAGAAATGCCTAGTGGAGTGTTGTCTCTAGAAATCTCTAGGTCCTTCAGCATGATTTTTGGTTAAAGTTGACCACAGAATTGTGCTGAAGGACCTAGATATTCCTAGTGAAGATATATTACTAAAACCTGTAAATAATCAAATCTGCAAAAGTCAAAACCACAAATGTGGAGGGACGAGTGTAATTGTTTCATTCCTGGCAGCAATTATTTCCAGAGACTTTGGCTGGGCTCCTACATCAAAGTCAAGGAGTCAAAATTTCAAGTTATGGAGTTCTTCAACAACTATGAATTGCAAATTAAAACATTATTTTAATTGAATCTTCAACTAAATATACATGTGCAATGCACAGTAGCAGTGCTTGCACAACTCTCACTCTGCTGCAATGAGCTGAATGTGGATAGTCCATGGACCTTATCACATGGGGTCTAAAGCAGTCCCATCCCCATCACATCCCCGTCCCATTGCGGTTCCTTTTCAATCCAGAACTATACCGGTATACAGGAAAGCAGCATCATTCCGGTATCATTCTGGTCGCGGCAAAAATGTAATTCCCAAAGAAACTGGCATTCAAAAGAACGGGGATGATGCCGGATGATGCTGCAATGGGACGGGGATGGGTGCAACGTCATGTGAACACACGGGGAAAAGGAAGCGCAATGGGACAGGGATGTGACGGGGATGGGACTGCTTTAGACCCCGTGTGATAAGGTCCCATATCAGACAAAAACATCCAACACTTTCATACCTGTTGAATTTACACATGCTGAAGACACCAACCTTATTATGGCCAACATAATATAAAATGTAACAGGCTTTAGATGATTCTTAATGACAGCTATAGTAGGGAAAGTCTTTAAAAGAACCATGTATACTCTAGAAAGCAAAAGAGTTTTTGTCTAGGCCTACTCTGATGTGAATGATAGATAATCTCCAGGACCACACACTATAAACTATTCAAAGAAGGCTGTCTTATTATACCAGAAGACCTGCAAAGTAGTAGTAGATCTCCAGAAATTAATTTTCTTGCAGAAAGAATTGTGTTAGCTACTCTCACTTTCTCCCAGATATATTTTCAATTCCTTCCATTTGTAATATCAGGAAAAAAAGGAGCTATGGAACTATTTACAGATATATCTGTCAGATCACAGAAGAACTGTCAAGGTGTTATACAGCACTATTGTAAGGTGTTTGTCTTTCACCTGACATGTAAGTATTGGGAAGCATGGAGGTACAGTTGAAAGATCAGATTATATTCCTGATGGCCCAAGCTATGTAACTAGCACAATAAATTATTTCAGAAACAATGAAGACACATAATTTGAAATGACAACAAATTGTTGCTAAAATATTTCCCAGTGGCAAGTTTAACTGAGTCAGATGAATATAAGGGATGAATATATTTTATACTTTAGCAGATCCTTTGTCTATCTAGCTCTCTATAATCTGCTCAAAATGGCACTGCACATACTGGCAGTGGCTTCCAAGAGTTTCAGAAAGGGGCTACTGATGGGTTAAGATGCAGGGTCATGCATACTGATCTCAAAAAAGCAGTAAAGTCAAAATGGCAAGAGGTGCTTCATGAATGTTCCAACTCAGCATCTTCTCTGAAGATGAAATTTATTTTAAAGACTTATTTTAAGAGGTTTGGTTTATTTCCAGCAAGGATTAAGGGAAGAGAGACAAAAATGATGTCATTGTGGGGGGTTACTACAGACTTCCAAGCCACACTTTGGATGATGCCTTCCTGGAACTGATGACTACACATCCATGAAGAAGAGATATAGTACCAATTGGTTAAACGATCCTGATATTTGTTGAAAGTCAGACTCTGC